CTTATAAACATGTGTTAAATATTACAATTATATAATATTATCAATGTAGCCAACCAGCATAAACAATTTAAAAGAAACTATAAATAATGAAAGTTTTGCTGTATTCATTATCATTTATCAGCAAGTACTGCTCTGTTATTTTCTTCTTTTCATATTGCATTGTAAAATACAATACAATGCAATTCAAAAAGTCAATGCAAATTTTTATAAAGAAAATGGCCTGAATTGCCACCAGATCCTTATCCCTCATGTAGTGACAAGGCTCATCCTGATTTGCAATAGCAGCCTCAAGTAATTCCACCACTCAATGTTTCACATCTTACTAATTTCTCAATGGTTTTTGCTCTATTAAAAGAACTTAATATATTATTGTCTTTTTACAAAAAATATACATGGGAGAACATGACTTCGACCAGGAAGCACTTCTTTAATTCTTGACTTCAGCTTTCAGGTGATGCAGAATGAGCATTTGCTTTGGCTGTGGTTCATCAACTTCCATTGACTTGATTCTGTGGTCTGTGAAAATTAATTAAACAAACTAATTCAAAGAGCTTATATCAATGCTACTGTGATAGTTTTAATGATCAAATATGTATTTAAATTGTTTCTTTTTAATCAAAGGTTGTTTTCCAAAAAAAAAAGAAAAGAAAAGAAAAATAAGTAGTATCAGTATAATACAATATTAAATGCAGGTGGTGATGTTTAATTGGACATCAAAGTGTTGATAAATATTATTTGCTTAAGTCAGTTTTGATACCTGACAGCTTTTGTTATGTTGTGTCTAAGGATTCCTATGTAGATAAAGCATACTGTATTGTTAATATAATAATTTTGTTATATTTTTTTCATGAAGACATTAAAATCAAATTAAGCCTGAATTACTTAGTCTAAGCACAGTCACTGAAGGGCACATCCCCCACCCCAAAAAACTGAATTGATTCAATTTGTGTAGTAATTGTTCTTGGTAGACAGTAGTAAATAGTTGTTATATAATTGTGGATGCTATTCTTGATTTGTCTTCATGATCAGTTGCTTATGCTGGGTCGATTCATTGCCAACATTATTGTCTCAATATGCTTATTACAATATAACATCATCGTATTTGATTCACAATACTCTCTGTGGTTATTTTGCTGTCGATAGTACCCCAGTTTGAGGAAAAGGCAGGGCTTCCTGTCTGTGTGTGTGGTGTGATAGAGAGACGCTTAGTGCTTTTCAATTAAGTAAAACATATACCATACCATTTTTAACGTTATATGTAACCACACACGCACCTTTAAACAGATTCGGTGCAATTTTGACAACTACTACTTGCACCACCATCCCTGAGATCCCCTTCGTTATATATGTAGGCTATTCATCAGCTTCGACGGAAACTTTATAGGCCATACATTTATAAGCCAGGTGGCCCGGATTGGTGGGTCACAGAATTGAACGTTTTCGATCCTCAACCCACGGTCTAAAGGTAGTTAAGTGTTGCTGCTTATTAAAAGGTAGTTAAGAAGCGTAGCTTAGGTTAGTTAGGTCTGTCCTGGTCACGACACTAAACTCCATCCAGTCGAGGCGTCGGCGACTAATCCGACATGCCCACTCAGATGTGTCTTAGTGGCTGTAAGGGGATGGTTCCATCGTCACCCAGCAGCAAGAAAAACCAACATCTGAACAAAGGGCGGATTAGCTCTTCGGAGTAAACGGTCAACCATAACTTAGTTTAAGGAGTAGGAGTATATTTAGCCACATATTATTTTGATATTTATAATCTTTAAGCTTATTTTGCATAGTGATGCGCATAGTCATGACAATATGCGCCTTATAAGTCCACCATTATTATTATTATTATTATTATTATTATTATTATTATTATTATTATTATTATTATTATTATTATTAGTTTTAAGTTTCTTGTCTGCGTTAGCCGCTGTTTTATGATTTCTAATGACAGTGTTAACGGCTACCTTGATTTATATTTCAGTGTATGCTATTATTTGTTTCTAGCCGTACTCATTGTGAGATGGAGTGTATCTGGTGGTATTTGAATTTGTTTAACCATGAAGCCTCCGTGGTCTAATGGTTAGGACGCTCGCCTTGACAGCGAGAGGTCGCAGGTTCGAGTCCCACCAGAGGCATTTTATTACACAATTTCTTTAAAAAAAAAAAATGTTGTGTTGCCCTCCGCGACCGACCGAAATTTTCCAAAAAAATTGGGTCGGCATTTTATTTTATTTCTTTTTTCACAAATTCGAGAAATACAACTTCCGAAATTAACATTTAGAACATAAAATCTAAAACAGACATATATATATATATTTTTTTTAATCAAAATCGGGCCATATCAAAATCGGAAAATCGGTTAAATAGAAGGCATATTAAGAGGCGAGCGCGACGACGATATGCACACCATACAACATCGGATCTCTCGCGCTGAGCTGTCAAGCCACGACCATATCTAGGCCTAACCTATTCTTTACGGTGTAGGACCGTTTCGGCCGTGAACAAGTTCGGCCGCGATATATTTGTATGGAACGCCAAATAGGCGCAAAGCGCCAACCATAAACGATATATACTGTCTCTTATACACATCTAGATGTGTATAAGAGACAGTCCCAGCACCGGTGACAAACATTTTACGAATGCTGCAATGTTATTATTATTATTACTATTAGTATTGTTATTTGTTATTGTTATTATTATTATTATTATTATTATTATTATTATTATCATCATCATTATTATTATTTGGTGCTTAGACACCTTGTTT